GCATTTGATTTTGAATCATGGTATTCTGTTCTTTTATGTTCATATGATTTTTTGAAAAAAATTATCATACAAAAACCAGCATTTTGTTTAATTCTTACTTAATTTAGGAATGTTCGTTCTTGACCTTTGACCTTGGTTTAACAACAATTGCATCGTACGAATTATTGACGACCGGGCAAAACAGAAAGTACAGATAATAAGCTTTCGAATTATATATAATATAGACGTACGATAACTAAGCGTCATTTTGAAAAAAAATGTCACTCTCCTAGTAATAACTATTAAGAGAAATGAATTATCTTTATCGTGTTTGGAAAATGGTGTATAATGTCGAGTTCCCTGCAATGAAAATGACAATCAATCTAGTTATAAAAAAGAGAGGTCTAACGTCAACAGTTTAAATGTAGGTTTATTGATTTATTTAATTTAGATCTATCATATTTCTCTTAAAAGTGTAAATATAAAACAGATTGACCGCTTAGACAATATGCACCTGAATGTCTGGCTTGGCACCTACGGCCTTACAAACTACGACGGAAGATTCAGGTTTGTCGAAATAGTTAGTGGACTCTTTAGGAGCGGTAACCTTTAAATGACGATTGTTTTACCCTTTTTGTGTTTGGGGCAAAATTAGAGAGGACGTAGAGAAACTATTAACAGAAAACTGATCAGCAATACAAGATCAAGATGAAATAAAAAATTGTCATGAAGTCTATTCTAGTCTACAATGTTAGAGAGTGTCACTTGTTGAAGATGCACAGAGACCTAGGTGGGTGACAAATGCTAATTATAGAGTATGAATGAATTTATTAAAAAAGTGACTAGTTCGATAATTCTCTGATAAACGTCAGTAATTTGCTGAATAATATTTTCTCAGTAGAAAGTGATATGAATTTTCCGTCGTAGTTTGTAAGGCCGCAGGTGCTAATCCAGACATATTTTTTTTAAGTTTGCCCCCTTCCCATGCAACTTTTCAGTAAACTCCTATGTCACTGCCTATGTTCAAGTCAGCTTAATTCTAAAACTTTTGTAGTTATTTTCTGAAGTTAGAGAACGACTAATTTAGCACCAGGTCAGAAAGAACATGCAAGAAACAAAATAGATCCTACGAACAGCTGTTTGTCATGATTGTTAATAAGTTATATATTTGTTATTTTGGTATCAAATGAAAGCTGAAAGCCGTTGGATCAATGTATACCGTTGTTGCAAGTTTGTTTTTAAAAATAAAAAAATACGAAACTGAAACAGTAGGGAATATTTTGCCTGTTTCTAAGATCAGACTTACCTGTTTTTGCACTACCAATTTCTAAGTACCAGTCCACTATTATAGACAATCAAAGTATGATGATTTTTTCAGCAGAAGCCAGGATAAGGTATAGTTTTGACACGAAATGACAGTCACGTTATTTCAAGTTAAGCCAAAATAGCTATGAATGTTTGAAATTGCAAACTTTAACTTAGATATAAATAATCACAAATTAGTGATTTTATTTCTTGCTATACATGTGATAGAGGGAAAACATCCTACAAAAAAACTGTAAACTATCATAGTTGTTTATATTAGTTGAAGTTTGTCCTTGAAGGATGTAGTCATTTCAGTTTTAGATATTTTTGTCAGATGTTCGGACTCATTGGGTTTTTTCATACGATACCGGGTAAAATATTTTGCCCCATAACACCCAATTGTAAATATAAAGCTTTACTGCAAGTATCACATCATCTCAACATGATCCAAGAAAATGAGGTCAAGGTCACACTGGAAATATATGTACACCTTACAATCATTCCATACATCAAACATAATTGACCTATCGCTTATAGTTTCTTAGAAACAAACTTAACCAGGAAAATTAAACATTGACCAATGAACCATGAAAATGAGGTCAAGGTAAGATGAACCATGCTAGACAGAGTTGTACACTTTGAAATCAATCTATGCATTAAATATAGTTGACATATTGCTTATAGTATCTAAGAAACAAACTTAACTATGAAAACTTAACTTTGACCAATGAACCATGAAAATGAGGTCAAGGTCAGACGAACCATGCCAGACACACATGTACACCTTACAATCAATATGTGCATTAAATATAGTTGACATATTGCTTATAGTATCTAAGAAACAAACTTAACCATGAAAACTTAACATTGACCAATAAACCATGAAAATGTGGTCAATGTCAAATTATACCTGCCAGAAAGACATATACACCTTACAATCATTCCATACACCAAATATAGTTGACCTACTGTTTATAGTTTAATAAAAAACAGACCAAAACATAAAAACTTAACACTGAGCAATGAACCGTGAAAATGATGTCAAGTTCAAATGAAACCTGCCAGACTGACATGTACATCATAAAATATTTCCATACACCAAATATAGTTGACTTATTGTATATAGTATGTGAAAAAAAGACCAAAACACAAAAACTTATCTTTAACCACTGAACCATGAAAATGAGGTCAAGGTCAGATGACACCTGCCAGTTGGACATGTACACCTTACAATCATTCCATACACCAAATGTAGTTGACCTATTGCTTATAAAATTAGAGATATGGACTTGACCAGGAAAACTTAACCTTGTTCACTGATCCATGAAATGAGGTCAAGGTCATATGAAAACTGTCTGACAGGCATGAGGACCTTGCAAGGTACGCACATACTAAATATAGGTATCCTATTACTCATAATAAGAGAGAAATTAACATTACAAAAAAATCTGAATTTTTTTTTCAAGTAGCCACTGAACCATGGAAATGAGGTCAAGGACATTGGACATTTGACAGACGGAAACTTCATAACATAAGGCATCTATATACAAAGTATGAAGCGTCCATGTCATCCACCTTTTAAAATATATAGCTTTGAAGAAGTTAGTTAACGCCGCCGCCCCCGCCGGATCACTATCCCTATGTCGAGCTTTTACAGAAGTCGCAGGATCGGCAAAAATCAATTATCTTCAAAAGGTGTTCCATAACCTATCAATATTTTTAGCTTATTTTGTTTCTTAACTAATGCTTTTTTCTGATTTATATTAATAAGAAGATGTGGTATGAGTGCCAATGAGAAAACTCTCCATCCAAGTCACAATGTATAAAAAGTTAACAATTATAGGTCAAAGTACGGCCTTCAACACGGAGCACTGGCTCACACCGAACAGCAAGCTATAAAGGGCCTCAAAATGACTAGTGTAATACAATTCAAACAGGATTACCAACTGACTAATCTATATAAAAAACGAGAAACGAGAAACACCTATGAACCACACCAACAAACGACAACCACTGAACAACACGCTCCTGACTTAGGACAGGTGCAAAAAAATGCAGCGGGTTTAAACGTTTTAACAGGCGCCAACATTCACCTTCACATGAGACAGTGGTGTAACATTACAGCATAAAAAGACACACTATAAAATATCATTTGAATGGATTAACTCGATTTTAACTTCACTTTCCAATATAGATGACGTCCTCTCACTAAATACTTCAAATGTTAGTGACTATGTTGAACGCATCTATCCCATTGAACTTGAAATAAAGAACACAACGTCTACCTCATATCTTGACTTACATCTAGAAATTGACAATGAGGGTGGGTTGAGAACAAAACTTTGTGACAAAAAAGATGACTATAGCTTCTTAATTGTGAACTTTCCATTAGCAACATTCAAGCAGTGCCTGCATACGGAGTATACGTTGAAATCCTCCTTTCGAATATTTTACGGACACCTTCACGAGCTGGTTGACCGTTATAGAATATTTGTTTCACAAATGACGACATATATGCTCCAATTGTCATAACCACAATCTGTTCCTATATCCTCCAATGTGCCCAACCGACTTAGACTAATCACCGGTTTTGTACTTACATGAGCAACACAACGGGTGCCACATGTGGTGCAGGATCTGCTTACCATTCCAGAGCGCCTGAGATTACCCCTGGTTTTCGATGGGTTCGTTTTGCTCAGTCTTTAGTTTTCTATGTTGTGTATTGTGTACTTTTGTTTGCCCTTTTGTCTTTGTTGTATTTTGCCATGGCATTGTCGTTTGTTTTTTAACTTTGAGTTTGAATATGCTTTTGGCATCTTTCCCCTCTCCTTTTGGAAACTATCTAAGGACTGTCATGATTAAAATTAATAAAATCCAAATATATTAATATATGCATGTAAGTTAAAATATATAGACATTCACAATAGATAATTTTTCAAATTTTAATAAAACAAATTCTTTGTCAAAGTTACACAAAAAATCATCTTAGCTGTAGATGGAAACTTAATACTTAAAGGAAGCAATAGTAAGTGAAAGCTAATAATTTTTATACAAAATGTATTTTGTAATTCAAAAATCACTACATAAGCAGTAATAACTGTGAAATATGTTATATGAGTATTATTTTCGGAATGAAATTTGAAAATTATTTATTCAAATGCATATGACAAATACCATATGACATTCTGATGACATACAATTCAAATGTTTTCTCAACCTCAAGATAATATATAGTCCCATTGCATTCGACTTTAAGAGAACATTTCAAATGTTTTCTTTAGAGCATTAGGTATGTACAGCATGAGCATAGGAATAGCTAATGCAAATTGATTGTGGTAATTTGAAGAGTTAAATTATTTTAAAAATTAAAAAAAAATACTGAACTCCAAATCAAATTCAAGAAGGGTAAGTTCATAAAATCTGAAAAAAATCAAACGCTATCAATCAACAGAACAAGTGGAAAACAACTGCCATATTCCTGACTTGGTACAGGCATTTTCCAAAGAAAATCTTGGCTTAATCCTGGTTTTATAGCTTGCTAAACCTCCCGCTTGTCAGGCAGTTGTTTATAGCTCCGTTATATTGACAAAATCAGGTAAGCAACCCGAACAGACATAATAGGTTAATGCTGGGACATAATGTATTGTATAATAGTCCCAGGTAAATGTGACAATAATTGGGATCCAGCAGTCAAAATTGTGTAAACAAACATACAATTGACTAAGAAATTTAAACAAACATACAAATTAATCTAACAAAAATGACAACTAAAAAGATGTAGTAAATAGTAATAACTCATCATAGATGCCAAGAACAATATTTAGAACGCCAGACGCAGGTTTCATCTATAAAAGACACTCCTGATGTTGATTAGACAATGACGTCATGAACAAAATAAAAAGGTTTTTGTCGTTGATAGTACATTATGTATATAATATTACACTTTCTCGATAAAGTAAAAATTTAGTAAATAGAACTACCGTAGTTATTCCATACATGTTGTTATTCTACTGATGAATCACATGCTCACTATGTTCCTAGAACTAACAGTTCGTTGCATGACCTGCCGTTATTTATGTCAATTAATTTGCAAATATTCAACATAGTCACCTTTGAAATGATATTAAGTTGCATTTATAAGTGATATCATGTGATACTTCAGCAGACCAAAGGAATTTGTATAATTATACTAAAACTGTGTCTAATAAATAAATAACTTTCAAGTTTGCATATATTAGCTTTACTGTTCTCACTCATTCAATATTATTTTTTTTGTTTCCGGATCTGTACCATCTTCTGTCTCACAATACTTCTGAACTATCTCTGCCACCCTCTGTAGTTCACAATCATGTAAAGCTTTTATCAGAACCTCCTTAGTGGCGTCATGACCTTTACATTCTTGCCATGTTAATAACATTGAATAAGCCTTTTCTTGCACATCATGGTGGTTTTCATCAATAATGTTGATATTGTTTTCCCCAATTTCTAAATAACGGCCAACATTTTTCCAATGAGGGATTACTTCCTTTGACACTCTAAGGAACAACTTGTTCCAAGGATTTTCTGAAAAACATTTTTAAAATTTAGTTAGTTTGCATTCAACTTAAAATAAATATTTTGTTGATGTATGTTCATTTTTCAGTATATATGTTTTCACTCAATAAAAGATTTACCTTTTTGTACAAGAGAGGCGAAAGATTCCACCTGGGACATTCAAACGCATAAGTCGAAAATAAACTGATAATGCCATGGCTAAAAAGAAAAAGACCAACCGAAAAACAATAGTACAGAAAACACAATGTAGAAAACTAAAGACTGAGCAACACGAACCCCAACAAGAACTGGGGATGATCTCAGGTGCTCCGGAAGTTTCAAATAAGAGTATTTGTTCTTATCATGCAATATTTTCTAGGGTATATGAATATGAATACATCCGGTTCTAGATGCTGTCTTGAAGTTACAATGAAGAGTGATTTCCCTCATGTTAAATGGGACTTTGCGATGTATGAAAATTATAATTGAAGAACATTTAGTGAGCAAGCTCTCAGATATCACAACCACTCCACATCTGAAGGGGAAAAGCTCATATAATTTATCAGTTTTCGTAAAGGTATGATTCTGTCCTGTGATATTTTAATACAATTATATTGTCTTACACAAATCTAGATTAAACAAGGAATTATGTGAATCTGGAATTGTCATGAATTCTGGAATATTGATAAGAAATGTATGATGAAAACTAACACAACTTTAGTCAAATTAATTTCACTGGTATTTCAGTATGAACCAACTTGTAATCTTGTATACATGATTGTATAGTTTCTGTATATAACAATGATCATTGGCAGATGAAGGTTAAGGCAAGGGGACATGGTCCCCTTTAAAGCTCAATATAAGCGTTTAAGTACAATTTCCTGGATTTTAATTTATTTTTCAGTGGGCCCTCTGGATCTCCCTTGCAGTTTGTGGACCAGTTTTCTTTGTTTTTTTGTTTTTTAACGATAACAAATATTTTTATTCAAGCATTTCCTGATATATAAATACCTAAGTAGCCCAGGTTGCATACTTAGGGGCCACTGTATTTTTAACAGCCTCACTTGACCCGGGAAAAATCAAATAAGTTTAACTCCCACAGTTTTACATACATTCAAGATTCAAGATTCAAGATTCAATAGTTTATTTAAGTCTCAACACATACAACATAGTTAAAACAAGATACAATTATTTAATTAAATATACAGTAAGCATATTTAAAACAATTAAATATATGTATGTGCCATTCTTAAAAGAATTATGAGAGACTATTAAAATACATATCTATACTAATTCATTTTATAAAATACTACAAATAGTTAATGATATAAAATACTGTTTCTCCTTGTTAAAATGTTATTGCAGGTTTTGACAACAATATTACACGTATTGCTATTTTTAAACATATATATAAATTTTTCTTCATCAGACAAGTTTAAAAACATATCATTATGACACAATATATCAATAAACAGAGCATGTCTTAGATCTTCACACAATGGACAATTCAAAACTACATGTTTTTCATCCTCTAAAATATTGCAGTTCAAACAGACTCTTTCGTCTAGATTTTTCTTTTCATATCGACCAGTTTCAATTTTTAATGGTGCTACACCACATCTAAATTTTGAAAAAGCACTACGATGACGCAGTGGCATTTTCTGTAGCAAATATTGTTCAGTGTTATAAGTATGTTTAAAGAGTTTATATGTTCTCAATTAACAACCAGTACTATATGAAAAAATTCTTGTACACCAGTCTTTTTTTATATTTATCAAACATTTTCTCTTCTAAATGAGATATACTATAACTATCAAGAAAATTTTCATTTATTTTACAATATCTTTCAAAATCAAAAGATTTTGATATCTACATAACTTTGTAACACCAATTTTTCAATTTACAACTGCCTTTCATCACTGACCATTTAAAAACTTTATAATTAATTCTATTATTGTCCATTTTTGTACATCTGGACCAGTGTCTAAAAATATTTGTCCACTGTTTAACACATGGTGGCTTCCAGCCCATATCGCCTGACACAGCATCGTTCGGGGTATATTTACCCACACCCATGTAGAAACGCATGGCGCGATTCTGTACTACCGTGATGCACGAGTAATCTCTCGTGCCCCAGATAGATGAGCCATAATTTATGACTGACCAAACCATCGTATCAAATAGCTTTGTGTAGATATTGTGCTGAAAACCACCATGTGCTTTACATTTAACAATAAGTAAACCTAATGCCCTACTTGCTGACCTGGCTACAGCTTTTGCCATTAATTGGTAGTCTAAAAATTCTGTTAACAATAAACCTAAGTATTGGTAACTTGAAACATACTCAATATTTTCATCATTTAAACTGAACTGAAAATCTGATCTGGCTACAGAGGGATTTCTAAAATGTATAACATTTGATTTTCTTAAATTTACTTTTAAACTATTATGATTACACCATACATTTAAAACATCTAATAATTTTTGTAAATCCTCAGCATTTTCTGCTAATAAAACTATGTCATCGGCATACAGCAAGATAGATAATTTTTCGCCATCAATATTAATACCAATGTCTAGCAACTTAATATCATCAATTAAATCATTGATAAATATATTAAACATTAGTGTTGACAATACACAACCTTGTTTCAAACCAGTATTAACACTGAACCATTCAGTCATGTTACCATTTAATCTGACACTACATTCTACATTCGAATAAATAGCCTTTAAAGCATACATAAATTTTGTACTAACACCAAGTTTTTCTAATTTATTAAATAACAGAACTCTATCAATAGAATCATACGCTTTCTTAAAGTCAATGAAAGATACAAAAGTTGACAGCTTACATTTTTTCTTAGTTTCAATAACAGATGTTAATGTACTGATATGTTCTATTGTACTTCTACCTTTAATAAACCCATTTTGTTCATCATTTATTATCTCCCTTTCGTCTAACCACTCAGTTAACTTTTTATTTAAAACTCCACAATAAAGTTTATATGCACAAGGTGCTAAGGTAATACCTCTGTATGATAAAGGATCTCTAGGATCTGTAGTTGAACATTTAGGTATAGGAGTAATAATACCTTTATTCCACATATTTGGAACTTTGCCAAATTTAAAACAAATATTAAACAATTTAGTTAAAGTCAAAATAACTGTATAATTTTTGCATAAATCTGCCTGAATACAATCTACACCTGGGCTTTTCCCATTCTTGGCTGCCATAGCTACCTTAGAAACTTCATCAAAAGATATAAAAGCATCTAAATCATTACAAACAATATCATTCTTTACAATTAATTTTTCAACACCATAATTCTTATTGTTATCTAGATTGGAATTCAACAAACCATGAAAACTGTCTTTCCATTTTTGTAAAACATCGTCCATACTATTTGTAACAGATCCATCACTTCGCAACACCTCATTTGGAATTTTCAATTGTCTTTCATTACCAATACCAATATTGCCTATTTTACGCCAAAATTGTCTTGGATCATTTTTGTTTAAATTTACAAGTTCCTCTTGACAATTATGCTAATACTGTCGTTTACTGTGTTGGACTAGTTTATCAAATTCTTTTCGCTTACTGACATAAATTTGTCTTAAATATGTGTTATTGTTTATTTTGGTACAATGTAAATACTGTCTTTCTGCCAAGCATACCCGATTCCATTTTACAGTTAGTTCATCGGTCCACCATCGTTTTTTAAAACGGCACTTTTTGTTATTTACACTGTTCATAATTTTTATCTTTTTGTCCAATTTAACATTCATTTCATTATGCATAATATTAACAAAATTATTATATATATTATCTAATTCAACTTGAATTCCATTACAGCTTTCTATATTAGCAATGCATGAATTAATAAGATTAATACTATTTTCATCATTCATCCATGTATCAGGAATATTTTTCACATTATAAACAACATGATTATTTTTATTATCACAACTATTTAAACTTTGCTTATTGATATTTTCACATACTGCATTTTCCAATTCCCAGCATAAAACTGAATGATCCGGGATGTATTTTGGCTCAATTGATCCTGTTGTTAAACTTTTATTTGCTAACTCACTTGCACGAATGACTTCAAATTTTTTAAAACTATTTATATTTTCAAATGGGGCGATACAATAATCAACTACTGATGATTCTCTTGTTGATACATATGTGTAGTCGTTACTTATATGATTATGACCATTCAATACACAACAATTAACATTGGATAAAAATTCACAAAACATTTCTCCATAGCTATTTGCCTTAAAATCAATAACCTCACGCTCTGGCAAATTATCTACCCCTGGAATATAATCCTCTATACCTCCAATCCTGCTGTTAAAATCACCACAAATATAAAAAGGACATCCATTCGGAATACAGTATATTTGAGACATAAGTGTATCAAAGAATTCAATAGCATTTGTTGAACGTGCAGAAAATTCAGGTGGTAAATACCCAACACTAACATAAAATTTATTGCTATCGTTGTTTTTTGCTACAAATTTTATCCAGATTATCCCGTCTGTTGAATCGTCTTCAACATCAATGTTGAAAGTAGATAGTAATTCCTCTTTCACTAATAGGCCAACCCCTTCTGAGCCTGTCTTTGCACGGGTGTGGATTAGCTTGCGGTTATTGCCATACCATTTATAATTATCAATACAAATACCATGATTCACTAAGTGTGTTTCTACTATCCCTATCATATGAAGATCTAAGTTTTTCAAACATGCATCAATTAAAAAGTTTTTGTCACTATTTACATTCTTTGGCCATCCATTTATGTTCCATAACCCACATCGGTATTACCATGTCCTACAACGAATGGGGGCACACCATTGTTCTCTTTGATTATTATTATAACTTTGTGTTTTTCTCTTATTAAAGTTGCTTGTAGCTATGGAACCATTTTGTCTATACCCCGACCCACGAGAGTAGTTTTGATTGTAGCTTTCATTATAATTGTCTTTCCTGTAGCTGTCATTTGAATCATTTTTATTTACAT